TTTATCTCTATCTTAAAATTGGTATATCATTTTCTTTATATATGTAGCCTTGTAAAAAATTCAATAATTGTTTTGAACTTCCTTAAACAATTCCATAATTGTTTTGGAGTTGTAAATAATTCCATAATTATTATGAAGTTATTAAACTTCTTTAAATAATAACATTGGATTAACATTTAATCACAATTAACAATTTAACTCTTAAATTGTTTACATAACAATTTAACCCTTAGATTGTTTATATGTTTTCAATTACAACCCACTGTTAAATTCAGTTTAATATAAAGGATTAATTATGAATTGAAATTTCATTTAATTCCAATTAGCAATTTAACTCTTAAATTATTCATAATAACTAATAAAACCCTCCATTGAATCTAATTCAATGATAATAATATAAATAACTTTATTACCATTCAGAGGTACTAGCCAACCTTTGATAATCAACTCTCTTTGGTTATTTCTCAATTCTCCTTAGTTTTTATGTGTGACCTCTTAGGTTCACTGTGGCTTAGTCATGAGCCCAATATCATAGTCTATTCCAATATGTTTTGTCATAACTCTTTATGAACAAAACTCCCACCGATTATGGTAGGCATCTAGCAATGCTCTATAACCCCTAAGTCACAATGAATATATACTCCAACGAAACCTTTTATAATCATACGCACTGTATAATTAAATCCTTCCGTTATCTAATCCCAATTAAGAATGGATTCATGGTATGTCAAAATCTTTATCTTAATTTTATATCAAATTGACAATCAATACATATGGAACGTGTCATCATGAAACAACTTTTCAAGTAACATTTTATATACTCCAGCCGAAAATTTCCCTTTTCCAACGTATCTTGACATTTGTCTAGGAACTTGATATCAATCTATACTAAGTCAACAGATCCCATCATGACTATCACTTGTCCTCATACATAAACAACACATGGCCAAATCGGCTTATTAACACATGACATGATTAGCCTCGTGTTTATACACCATATGAACTATATGCGTTTATGCAAAATCTAACCGTGATATCTTAGGTTTAAAGATTAATAATACACTAATACAATCTTATGATGAATCATTGACTACATTTTAAATGTCCATGTGATTCATCATAAATGACCATAATCGATAAACAGTTTACTAACCGCTTATCCATGCTAATGCTCTAGTGATATAACTTTTATAATCACCCACATTAATACCATCACATGATATTCTACGGAGGCATTCAACCTGCCTATTATGTAATATAATTGCCCAATTAATATTACCTATGTAGGGAATACTTTGATGATTTTGATCTTCTAAAGATTTGTATCATCCAAACATTTCACATGTAATACATACATATATATAAATGAAGCAATAAACCACATGTGAAATAAGAACACTTTCTTCTATTGATAAGATAAAAATGTATATATAAAATATATACGTTAACATATATATACAAAACATAATACTAGAACCGACCACGTGATTGGTTCCTAGGGCATACACTAACACATACAACACCCAATATCATCATCATCATCATCATTATTTTTATGATCGAATTTTCAATCAAATTCATCCAAAATTTTAGTTGGTAGGAGATACTGTCAATTGTTATCCATCTTTTTTTTTTTTTTTTTCCAAGAAACACTCTTATCATACCGCTATTGTCAATTTTTATCATATTGACTATTGAGATCCTCGTGGCGGCAAAAGTTACTTGAAAATAATACCTGTATGTTCAAAATACAACACGATCGGATGAATTGGGCTGATTTTTAATCATTTAGAAAGCTAAAGACATCATTACCTTAGGATTATTACTGTAAGTTTACAGTAGCTATATAGGAGTTTTTACTTTTTACATAAATCCAAATATTGACAGAGAGAGAGAGACCCCCGACTTTTGAAAGATGGATCACTTGTCACGATCCAACCAAGCCACCAACCAGGAATTATTCATCTATTCGATATAGATTCAAGGGTAATAACAGGTGCAATTGATCTAGACACTCCCATTGGTACAAAAGGATCATTTCCAAAGGTGAGATGGGCATAAACTTCATCAGCAATTACCATAATCCCAAGTTTTCTTGTTGTTTCTGCAATCTACTTCTTAAAAAAAAAAATTTCAACCACCACCACTACTTTTAGCAAAACTTTAGATTAGTGGTGAACACGGATAGTGGTTTAGAACCAGAACCTGTGGGTAGAACCGAAACCTACCTGGAACTGACATTGTGCGGGTAGGTTTTGGTTCTATTTTTTTGGAACCCACACTGCGCGGTTTCGATTCCTATATGGGGAGGAACCGGAACCGGGTAAAAGAACCTGATACTATAATCACCTAATTAATTATAATATTACATAGTTAAATGATTACTTAATTAATTATAAACATTTGTAATTTAGTACATTACTTAATTAAATGATTAGAAATTTAATTAATTATAATATTATATTATGGATTTATAGTATGATTACTTAATTAATTATAACATTACATTATAAACGTTAGTACAATACTGTATTAAATGATTAGAAATTTAGTACAATATTAATGAGTCACATTGTACACAAATGAATGAGTAATTAAAAGTTGAAAACTACTAAATACAGGTTTTCTTAATTTGTTAGGAGTGTATTTGTAAACTTTTATGGTATTTTTGTCATTTTTTAAACAATAGGGGATAATTGAATTTTTACAGGGTACCCAGGTAAAGAATCGAAACTTGCATTTCAGGTTCCAGTTCCTTGAATTTAAGAACCAGAACTGATAGGTTCCAGTTCCGATTCCTTTTTCTGGGAACCTACACTGTACGAGGTCCGGTTCCCCCAAAAATTACAGGATACCCGGAACTGCTCACCCCAACTTTAGAACCACTTAATACCATGGCAAAACAACTCTCAACACTCAAACTCAAAAGGCTAAGCTCCTAAATGTTTTCAGAATTACCGGTAAGTGAAGGTACAAAGTCATTTTAGTGTAAACCCCAAGCAGTTGGCCCGACGGTCAAGGACTCCCTTCCTTGAATTCTTGGGTTCAAACCTTGGGTCACCTACCATAATAACATTGGGGCTTATTTGGTCTTTTGGGCTTTTAGTATGTTCAATGGACCCTGAGACTTAATTGAGGTGCACACAAACTGACCCGGACACCTCGGTTACCAAAAAAAAAAAAAAAAAAAAAAGTCATTTTAGTGTAGAAGCTAGCTAATATTCTAATATAAAAATCAAGATGTTGCTTGCAAATATGAGAGCTTTTTTAATCATTACAACTTTACAAGTAGTTCAATTCTAATCTCCTGTGGAAAAAAGAAAACAGTTCAGCCCACCTTCTGCAAATGTTGGTGAGTATAGTCATTCCCACAAGGATTGCCAGGGTTTATGATAACCAATGCAAGAGTATTCTCATCTGCAAGAGCTTCCACTGCATCAAGATCAACCTCACAACCCTTTTCTGGAAGAAGATCAAAATGGCGAACTTCGGGATGGCTACGTTTTGCACGAACTTCATCATATGGGAAGCCAGGTCTTGGAAGCAAAATATTGGCATGAGGGGGGCAAGGACAGTTACCATGAATTCAATTCCTTGAGTACATCCAAGTGTAAGAAAAACATTATCGGGTGATAACTTGTATGGGAGATTAAGATTCAAATAATCTGCAACGGCCCTGTCAGAAATTAGCATCAAATGATAATAAATGTTATGAAATTATTAAAAGTTAGCCGATTGTGTATGTCATTGCATTTTTATGATCATCACCTCTAGTTTTATGCCCTGCCAAAGCTGCCAATTTATTATTATTTTTTTTTCAAAGACACAAGTTTCTAAAGAGTTTTGAATGTTTATAGAGGATGTGCAACTCTGCCTATTGCATTTATCAATAAGTTTATTATGGGAACCCCGAACCCGCCCATTCTTTGAAACAAAAACCTGAAAGTTTCTTATCCTTTTGTCCATCTGATGTACTATATCTCTGAAAATTATGACCAATAATAGTGTCATCAAAACAAAAAAAAAAAAAAAAAAAAAAAAAAGACGTTGTGTCTGCCTTCTGGCCGGGAGTATGCTAACCGTAGATGAGTAGGAATGTGCTTGGCGGAGCGGACAGCATCGACATGGCGGCTTCGGCAACAGAAGTAGTTCGAAACAGGGGAAGGCAGAGGGGTCGCCATGGCCTAGCTGAATGACAGGTTTTGTATCGTCTTTACTAAGATTAGCGCTTAAGGTGGTGAGGACAGCTCGAACGGTGAAGGCAGCTGCCGTGTTCTTGTTGGAGTCTTTGTTTTCTTCAGAACGCCATCTTGTTTATTATCCGTTCTCCTTGTTTTTGCGATACAGAGGGCGTTGAGTGTGCCGTGTAAATGTTTATCTTCATTTCCTTTATATTTAATTTTTTAAACCAAATCACGTCAATCTTAATTTAATTTTAATTTTTGTTTTTCCTTTTTTTTGATAAATAACGCTTTGTCACATAGTATGCATTATACTCACTTAACTGGTCACGTACTCACGTGATTCACGACAAGTCGGGTCAAGTTTGGAGGGACAAGGTCAACTAATCAGATTCGATCAGGATTCAGGACCGTTCTCACATTTGCCACTGCTTAATCTTGAGGGTTGGAATCAATTATCAATATCTTGTACTATAAATCGATGTCCCGCCCATTTCTGTCCCGCGTTGAAGGCTTTTGTCTGTGTGTCTCTCTACAGGGGAACTGTGTGAGCTATTACGGCGGGTTATATATATTTCATTTGATAAAATCATTAATTGAACAGCGTCAAACACAAAACAAGAAAACAAGCAGTAATCACTGTGAGGCAACACGAAGTTGCTGCTCACTACAACCCCTCTTATGTCCTTTGATTGTATTCTAATTATGTAGACACAAGAGGTACTTTATTTCATAGGTATCTGAGGAAACCAGCACTACGAGATCAACGCGCTGTTGTTGTTGATCACCAAACACCCAACTTGTAACTTGATACAACTCTTATTGCTTCTTGGCATGCCTGTTATAGAAGGCTTTTATCCTCCCAAGGCCGTCTTCAAGGGCGGTAGGTTCAATGGCAAAAGTTACACGAAGCCAATTTTTCATTCCAACTGCTATCCCTGCAAGATTTGTTATCGTTGATGGTTAGCACTCACAAATAAAATATATATTGGTCCACAAACACTCGGAATTAAGTTTTATGTGTCCCTTTCCCTTCACTCCAAAATATTCTCAGTTAACTAAAACAAAACTACTGCAATCAAAGTATATATCCCTGAATTTGAACTGTTTCCTCCAATCAAAGAAGAGAAGCTAGGAAGTATCATGCTGGTAAAATTTAATATGCTACATAAACTAAGTTTTGAGTTTGTACATTACCGGGTAAAACAATGACTGATTCCTCTTTAGAAAGCTTGAGAGCGAATTCCATGTCATCGCTAATGTCTTCCAACAGTGACGTATTCAGCTTCACCTGCAATAAAGTGCATTAGCAGTGTACATTCATTTCTGCACATATTATATGATATGATTATATATGATGCTCTTGCCATTAAAAACATGGATCCGTCAGGTTTGTTTGGGCACGTTATGCATGGTATCTCCTTAATTCTATCATAGCATATGTCTGCAGTCTCCCTTAGTATGTCAAGGGTTTTTGAAAAGAAATCCTCCTTTGTATTCTCAAGGATTTGAGGAACCGCTCCCTGATGCATAAAGCACGTGTTATAACTGTATGAGAATAATAAAGAGAATCTGACTTAATGGCTAGAACGCTAAATAACTTTTACACATCCATGATATACCCACACAGAGATCTCTAAGCTATAGAATTCTTACTGTTCATATTTAGAAGCCAGGCCACACTTAATTCTAATCAAGATGATTACTCATGAAGTAAGACGTGTTTAAGACAATGAACCTTTCAACAAAACAGTCCTGAAAATGAAAAAAACGGAGACAACTAAACTTAACAAAATTATAAAATTCAGTGACTGCCACAAGAAATTGTTGCTCAGTATCTTTAGGCGTCCCCAGAGACCACATGGGAGTATTCAGGAGTTCAAGCCCCAATGAGTTGTCAAGAAACATAAACGTGTCCCAAGTACAAATGCTTCAAGGTCATAATGTCGCAGAAACTTTAGACTACCATGTTTATAGTGGACCCATGGAAGATTACTCTGTTGGTTACTTGGAATGCCAAATACCTTTCAGGTGAAAAGACCCGAACAATATTTTCATAGGTCCAGAAGAATAATTAGCAAATCCCCCAGTCACTTTAAAGATGAAAAACAGTTACTCTTTTTCAATATGATTACATTCTTCACAAAAAGCATCATAAATCACAGACCTGAATGAAGGTTGCAGGATCAGAGGAGATATTGAGAGAGTCCTTAATTGAATCAACAATCTGATAAGCCCAAAGCAATAAAAAAGCAATCTCTGAGGATTAATTTTAAGTTTACAACAGCCATATAAGATTTTTCACATAAATCCAGATATCGAGATAGAGAGAGACCAACCCCCAGCTTTTGAAAGATGCCATTGGGATCACTTGTCACAATCCAACCTAGCCGCCAACCAGGAACTATCCATCTCTTGGATATAGATCCAAGTGTAAAGACAGGTGCAATTGATCCAAACACTCCCATTGGAACAAAAGGGTTATTTCCAAATGAGAGATGTGCATAAACTTCATCAGCAATTACCATAATCCCAAGCTTTCTTGCTGTCTCTGCAATCTATTCAGCAAATCAGCAACCACCACTGCTTTTAGCAAAACTTTAGAACCACTTAATTACCATGGAAAACAACCTTAAAAAACTCGTACCAATAAGGCTAAGCTCATGTTTTCATAATTACAGGTAAAAGAAGGTACAGAATCATTTAATATAGAAGCTTGCTACGTTTCTTATATCAGCATGACGATGTATATGCAAAACTAAAGCTTTTTATATCATTAAAAGAAGTTCAATTATAATCACTGGTGGGAAAAGAAAATACTAGTTTAGCCTACCTTCTGCAAATGTTGGTAAGAATAGACATTTCCACAAGGATTGCCAGGGTTTATGATAACCAAGGCAAGAGTATTCTCATCAGCAAGAGCTTCCACTGCATCAAGATCAACCTCCCAACCCTTTTCTGGGAGAAGATCAAAATGGCGAACTTCGAGATGGCTATGTTTTGCATGAGCTTCATAGTATGGGTAGCCAGGCCTCGGAAGCAAAATGTTGGCACCGGGGCGGGCAAGGACACTTACAGTGACTTCAATTGCTTGTGTGCATCCAAGTGTAAGATAAACATCATCTGGTGATAACTTGTATGGGAGGTGACGATTCAAATAATCTGCAATAGCCCTGTCAGAAATAGACATCAAATGATACACATAAACACGTAATTATACAAACTTGAGCAGATTGGGTTTTTCATTGCGTTTTATGATCATCACCTTAGCCTCCAACTGGCAGTTATGTGACATGCAACACAATGACACATACCAATTCCCTTTCTTTTTTTTTTTTTTTTTTTTTTTTTTTAAATTAACAAAAATTTCCGGGGAGTTTTGGATGTTTATAAAGGATGTGCAACTTTGCAAATGGCATTTATCATTAAGCGTATTATGTGAAACTGCCCATTATTTTAAACAAAAACCTACAGGTTTCTTATTCTTTTGTCCATGTAATGTACTATGAAACTTCAAATTTCACATTTTTATTACAATAAAGCTGTATTCTTAAAAGGTTAAATATTAATTTTGCACCCTTTGTTTGCATGCATTTGGAACTGAATGAGTCCTGGGAATTGGGACTGGAATTGGAATTGGATAATCAGATTCCAAATTCATTATTTGATCCCATAAATAGGGTTGGAATTGAAATTGAATTGGAGTAACATACCGTCCACATCCATAAATTGAAATGAAACCATAAACTAAGAAGAAAACATGTTTCTTTAGTCTTGGTTCTTGATCTTATTTTCCAATGACGTTAATCAGGAAAACCCGACCTCAACAGTAGATGAAACCAGTATATGCTTAATCTTTTGAGATTAAAGAATTATACACTTGCCTAATATTATATAAAAAATAAAAAAATAAAAATCTCTATCCAGTAGGACCAGTACCAAATAATTATATTTGCCTAGTTGTCGCTAAGTGTATAACTTCAGCAAGAATGCAATTGAGTTTTTAAGACCTCCAAGTTATGAGCTTAAAGTATGCAATAAAAAAATGCTATGGTGCCGTCTTAATTTGTAACTCTATTTTATTGGATCCCTTTTTCTTTTTGGTGTCATTATTTGAATATATACCATATAATAGTGGAAGAATATAATCTTCTGCAAACACAGACAAGGCAACAAAAATATCATCATAACACACACAAACACAAAAAAAAAAGCAAAGAAACATCATACATAGATATACAAGGTAACAAAGATGTGTCTACCTTCTGGCAGGGAGAATACCAACAGTAGGTGAATAGGAATTGTAGTAGGCGGAGCGGACAGCATCAACGATGGCGTCTACAGCCACAGAAGTTGTTCGAAAGCAGGGGAAGGCAGAGGGGTCGCCATGGCCCAAAGGAATGACGGGTCTTGTGTCGTTTTGGTTAAGATTATCGAGTAAAGTGTTGAGTAGAGCTCGAACGGTTAAGGTGGCTGCCGTTTTGGTGTTTGTGTTGGAGTTGTAGTTGTAGTCTTTGTTTTCTTCAAAACGCCATTTCGTTGATGCTCCGTTCTCCATGTTTTGCAGTAAAGAAGAGGTGGTTGAGTTGTGTTGTGTAACGTGTAGTGAGAGAGGGAGAGGGTGAATGGTGAGAGTTGAGATATTTATATAGAAGTGGAGGGTAATGAAAAGATTATGGGATGTGGATCAAATCAAAGTAAACGCAGAGAAACGGACAATTTACATACAACTTACAAGCTGAATAAAAACTGAGAAACAGACAATTTACATACAAAAATTTACTTTCCTTTTGTACTTCTTTCAATTTTCATATGGTGTTTTTCTTCTCATTTAACCCATTTTAACTTTTAGTAAGGAGAAACATCTGAGGGGACGTTTGGTTTAGAGAATGTTGGATTACTGGGAATGTTGGATTACTGAAAAGTTAGATTACTTTGAAGATTACTGAGAATCTTTAGGAAAATGTGTTTGGTTAATTGGTGGGTATATTATATTAATATGTTTGGTTGAGAGGAATAAATTGGTGGATATGTTACTTAAATTACTTAATTGTCCTCTAATTAAATATTATTATTATATTATTTTTTAATATTGATTATTATTTGGATCATTATAACCCCCCTACATTTAAAAACTTAGCAAAAACAACTAATAAAAGTTTGGAAAATCAACAAAGCACCCCCACCAACCCAGCCACTGCCGGCCATCAAAGACCATTGCAGGCCGTCGGTAGCCAGCAACCTAACAACGCACGAAAGGCAAGAAATGGCCTTCGTGCGCCGTATGGCCATTTCCGGCCAAAAATGGCCAGACGTGACAGATCTGGTCGTCGACAGCTAGATCTAATCTGGTCGTTGATGGCCACAGACGTGGCTGTTAACGGCCATCGATTTGGCCATTGACGGCCAAATCGACGGATCTAGCCTTTGACGACCACAGACGTGGCCGTTAACGACCATCGATTTGGCCGTTGACGGCCAGATTTGGCATGATCTAGCCATTTTCGGCTAGATATCTGGCTGAAAATGACCATATCGGCGCATGACGGCCATTTTCGACCTTCCATGCATCGTTCCGGCAGTTGGCCGCAACGGTGGTTGCAGACGGCAGGCGGCGGCATGTGGGTGGGGGTGGTGGCTTGGGTGGGTTGAAATTTGTTTTGAATTCAAGGGTAATTTTGTCCAAAAAATTAACTAATTGGGGTGAAATAGTAAAAGTCATATTCATGTAAATAAATTTAAAAACAAGGGCATTATTGTCCTAAAATTTTATTAATAAGAGATAGAATTGTAACAAAAAAAGATAACTTTGGTAATCTTAGAATGCTTAAGAAAATTGAGCTAATCAGATTACCTCCAATATTACCAATAGTAACCACTATTGGTATTTAAAGATTTCCGGTATCTTATATTACTTGACAACCAAACATGGTAATCAAGCAATATAAGATGACTTAACCCCAGTAATCTTACATAACCCTCAACCAAACGCCCCCTTATTGGAAGGGGCATGAGATTAGTGCTCATGCAAACCACAATCAGATTTCATGTGGGCTGTATAGAAAATAAGTACATATCAATTAAGTATTACCGCACTTTGATTATCGTTCTAATTTTGTACGATTACTTATATAATTATCATCATTGAATTCAGGAAATATTAATGTACATTTATGATGGCTTTTAGATTTTGCATAAGAGTAATGCTACAGACACCGAATTTTTGTACCGAAGGATATGACAACCAGTCAAACGCGATCACGCTGGAGTCTTTCGTGAATGAATGGCCGTCCAACATTTATGGATGCCCTCTCATATTTAATGGACTCCTGTTCATATTATATGGACGGGTATCCATTTACTATGGACGGTGTCCAAAAAATTTTAAAATAAAAATAATGGACGCTCATCCATCTTATATGGACGGGTGTCTATTCACTATATTGACGCCCGTCCAAACAAATTTACATTCAATGGACAAGCGTCCCTTTTAGATGGACACATGTCCATTGTTTAATTTAAAAAAATTTACATTCAATTTTTGTCTCAATCCAAAAATAAATGTTGCTATCTTCATTCAATTTTTGTCAATATTCAAAGTAATTGGACAAGCTTTATTAAATTTTTGTCTATATTCAAAGTAATTGGTTAAGTGTCATATTCTTAACTCAATTAGGATTCACAATTAATGCATTAAATAAATTTAAAATTTGGTGAAATTTGGATAAGTGTCATATTCTTATGAGGACGGGCGTCCATGAACAATTTAGGCCAAATTTTTTTAGTTTAAACTATGAACGCACGTCCATTCTAGGTGAACGACCGTCCATATAATATGGACGAGAGTCCATTTCAAATAAGCGGTTGTCCAATAACAATGGACGGTCATCCATATTTGATGGACAGCCATTAATTTACAGAATATTTGTCAATGTGATATGTGGCTCGTTTGATTCAGTGGACATGTTGTTCGGTGTAAAAATTTGGTGCGAAGCGTCGGTGTCTGTAGCATTTTTCTTTGCATAAACATCTACATCAACTCAAATCTCTCTCTTCAATCTTCTACCAATTAAACTTTTTTACTTTATTGTTTAATTTAATGCAAATTTTCTTTTTTTGCTTTATCTTAAATCAGTAAATTAATATACTAATTTTTAAACGGGCTATACTTTGTTTTATTGTACTGAATTTTTAATCCATAACTTCCTTTACCTAACTTAGTTACGTAAATCTTAATTTAATTTTAATTTTGTGATTTTCCTTTTTAAAATAAATAACACTCACAAAGTATACACTGTACCACTTAACCGGCCACGTCAAGTCAAAGTTAGAGAGACTTATCAAGGAATCAGAGTTGATCTAGATAGTCCTTACATTTATGGCACTTAATAAAACCAGATTAGGTCTGGACCGTTCCTATATATATATATTTTAACTGAGGTGGTCGACCAACTTACATGCACCTCAATTGATTTTCGAGATTTTTTGAATACTCTGTAAATCAAAAAAACCAGATAAGCTATAATGTTCTTACCTAAAAACTCAAGGAAGAGAAGAAACTCTTTTACCCTAGGCCAACCCCTCGGTCCTATATTTACTACCGCTTAATCATGGCCATTGCTATCAAGATCTTCTGTTATAAATTGAAGCCTTGCCCAATCTTTCCCGCGTTTAAGGCTTTTGTCTATGTCTCCCTGTAAAGGTGATATGAGTTAGATGCTTTTGTTTTTGTCTCTCTTTCTCTGAGTTTCCTCTTTTCTGGTTCTCAAATTGTGAAAGTGAATTCTCATCATGTCCTTGGGTTAGGGTTGGGAAATTTAATTAAAACACCATTTTAAGTTTGGAATTAATTAAATAGTTTTTAAATTTGAAACTTTTTAAGAAATGACCATTTGCTTAAGTGATATAAGCTCATCTTTTAAGCTCAAATCATTTAAGCAATGAAAGCTTATGACTATTTAATTTATTTCAAACTTAAATGTGTTTTAGTTATCCTATCTCTTTCCTAGGATTTATTTTTTCCTAAAACTTGGGATTGAAAATGTCATATGATTTTTTCAATGAAGGTTAACATCTTGATACTTTTATTCAATTAGGAAATGTTGCGATTTGTCTTGGGATTACTTTTTGTAAATAGGAATTTCAGGTTATCTTTTAAATTAGAAAATTTGTGATTCAATGCCATGCCCTAGGGTTAGGGTTACTTTGAGAATTTGTGCAGCTACGTATCTTTAATTGACAGTCCTGATTCTTTCATAGGGTTAGGTTTATCTTTTCGGTTACGGATTGTAAATGTCATCACTTTCTCGGGTTTAGGGTTAACATGGTGATACTGTAATTTGGGAATTTTGAAAAGAGTAAACGACATGCTTGATAATCCTATATTTCCCTATGATTTTGCATTGAATTTCGATAGGATTTAGGATACTTTTCATACAATTTGGGCCATAATTGCTATCTAATTATATTAATTTTTCTTTGCAGGCCTAAACGATGATTTTGAGCATAAATGACAGTTTTGAGCGTAAATTGCATAACTTGAGCTTGGAAACTCGGAATGACCTGAATTTAAAAGCTTTGGAAAGCTAAGAAGCAGAACTACAACTTTCATGTTTTGGGGTTTTCCTAATTCTGATTAGACAAGGGTGAAAACTTGGCTTCGTAAACAGTACGTTGGGAACTAAAGAAAAACGTCTTTGGACATGCTTTAGTATTTTTGTCATAACTTGAGCTGTAGACCTCGAATCTGGCTGATTCTTGAACTAGTAGAAAGATAATTAAAAGGGCTATAATTCATGTGTTTACCACTTTTCCAGATTCAGAATCTCCTCACCGCGGCAAGGAAAAATATTCACCACGGCGAAACCGCATCAGATGTGAAAAATAAAACGACGCGTTTTGGCTTGTTAGGGCTTGGTCCTTAAGTGAAAGAGGTATAAATTAGCATAAAAATGAAGGGAAAAAGGTCTTGGTTCGTTATTTGGAAGGCATCTCTTGGAAGGAGAAGATTATTGAAGATTTAAGCTTCAAATTAGAGAAGATTTCTCTATCTTTTGCTTGTTTTTCAATGATGAATCTTGATTCAAGTTGTTTTTGTTATTTTGTTTTGTTTTTTAGTATGAACTGAGTTGTTTAGCTAGGGTTTGATGTAACCTTGATACAATGATTCAAATTTATATGAATTGATTTACTTTGAATTTTAATTTCATGATTAAATGTTATCTTTTTGCTTAATGACTTTTGGATGCTTGATCACCATTCAAATGTATGTTGTTCACAATGAGACTGAGAATTGATTTGTGATTGTGGCTCTTGGAATAAATACCATAGATTGAGCAAAAGCTAGAGATAGATAAACACGATCTATGAAATCTAGATAGAATTCCATAAAGCTTAAAAGACTTTGAACTATTAATCTTCATTTTGTTAGGTGCGGAAGCTTAATAGGTATACGTAGGAAAATATAGTTTGAGAAAGTATGTTTTACAACTTAGGGAATTCGATTTTCAATCAAGGAATTAGAACTTGGGTAATAGATTCTATGATTTGGGTTAGCGT